GTATGAAGCATTCTGAAAAGATCCGATTACATGATGTTACTTTTTCTCCTCTAGTCTTTCAAGCAAGCATATGTGTATGTTGAAAATCATATTAATTTATCATAAATAAAGAACAAGAAATGAGATCACCTACCCGTCGTCTTTTCCTCAATGTCGAAGAATAAATACAACTGGATATAGCTTAAGAGGATGTCCTAATCGTTGATCTCGATTATCCTTCAGTTAACTAAACAAAAAAGAACATCAGTACAAACGCTGATGCAATCCAATAACGGTAGTAGGTGGGGGGAAGGGAAGAAAATAGAGACAACATCGTTCATCGCTCGTTCAACAATTTCAGCGTGCCAATTCAATAAACGCGCGTATTGATTTGCCTGTTCGTTCGGCTTGTAATCGAGAATGATGACGAACGACAAAAGAAAAAAGGAGAAGAGAGAAAAAAAAGAGAAACAATAAGACCAGATTAGTATATTACCATCTCAGAGTAGTAGCTATAACATTGAGCTAACATTATACAAAGAAAAAGGACGATAACTATTTTCATACTTATTACATTTACTTCTCTTTCAGATGATCAATACATACACATATATATTTACTCGTCAATGATATCTGATTACCATCGAACACTTACAAGGTCAATATGTATTTCTTTTGAGGCAAAACAATAGCAACAACGAAGTATTCTAACTTGCTTTATAGTCAAGAGTATCTATTATTATTTTTTTTTGTATTAGAGATAAAAAAGAATTCTTGAATTCTTTTCTTTTTTTCTATATGAATAGAATATTTATATATACCCGAAGTTTAACATATAAACGAATAATTTCACAAGTCACTCTTAAAAATTTCAAGTGAAGATCAGATGTTTTTAAGTATAAGATGATATTTTATAAATAAAATTGAGATCTATTCAAATGTTAATAAGAATATTATGTCTCTACTAATATTCAATCGATAAGAATTAATTCTTTTCATATAAAAGTAAAGTGTCTATAAAAAGTTACCATCATAATACAAAACAGTTGTACATACCTTCTAGTTCTGATCTGAATTAATTTGTTTTGATATATATATATAATAAATAATTATTTATGGATTTCAATTGAATAATAAATCAATGTTTCATAGTTAATAATATATTGATTATAATATGTACATAAATACATAGAAGAATTCTACAAAAATTCCGCTATTCATCTAAAAATTAAAGATCTAAAATGAGAAAAATTTAATGAAAATTAATAGTTTTACATAATATTCAAAAAAAAACAAGAAAAAAAAGTGTTTGATTTATGTATTTACATGAAAAATGTAACAGATGCTTCTGTGATGGCCATTATTCAACTGGTTACTGTGAATACCGACAGAGGCAAGAGGAATTTTTTTTTTCTTACTTGTAAAAGTGCCATCTCTAACGGATTGAAGTCACGTTGACTAGCGCCATCATCCATAATACATACAAAATTTTTGAAAATAAATATTTTCTTTTTATTATTCAATTTCATCTTGATAATAATAAGAATGAAATTAGAAATATCTAGAAAAGAAAAGGGAAGTTCTTTCTTTTTTCAATTTAAAAGGTTCTCTACAAAAAAAAACTTATTTGCCATGAATCGTTAACCTTTACAATAAATAGCAATTAGATATGTCAACTAAATTAGATAGCCCAGAAAAAAAAATAGGAACTCATGCATGCTTGACTAAATTAGTATAGTCATTCATGAAGTTAGAAGTAAATAGATGATAAAACAATTTCATATTTTCACTATCATGAATTTCTTAACAAGTTTACAATTTTCCATATATGATAGAATAAAGCGGAAGTGCATCGTAAATCCTATTCTCTCTGCATAAAATCATTCGATAATGAAAAAGATCTTTTCGAATTTCATTAATATTCATCATCTTATACGATTAATGTCTATACTATATATATATATATCAGCTTAGATAATAGTACAAAATATCAACCAAGGAAAGCGAGTACACATTTATTTATACGATGCAGACAACCTTGATAATATTGACTTTGATTAATAGTTGAAGTATTCTTATTTTGACACGAAATAATTTTGTTTATTTAAAAACTATATATAATCATTAATGTTTATCTGCCAAAGTAGTGATTACTTGTCTATTCAAATTAAAATCTTCATATTGTCAATATAATCTATAAATTGAATATGAGACATGTTTTAAGAAATATTCAATATTTAATTGTTTTTTCATGAATATTCTTTTTAAAATGTAATACAAATCTATATTAGCTATTATGACATTATCGTATATTTTTCGAATAATAAAATCAATAACCGATGTTAAATCAAAGAGGAGTTAAATAAGAGAATCCGTTTTCATTGAGTCATTTAGTTCACAATTTATTCAATTTAAAATCCAATGGTATTAATTTAGAAAGCAGGGCATAGCATTCTTAGTCAAATTTGGTATCTGGAATAGTGAACAGTAGTAAGTTATTTATTTACTTTCATGTTGTCATTTGCATATTTGATGATCTAACGGAAATGTTATAACTGCTTATATTTCTTTTCTACTCTCATTTATACATATATCGATGATGTATTCGTACTATATAATTGAATCTTTTCATGATAGAAAAAAACTCACACTACTGTCTTAAACATGAGTTAATTTTCATTCATTAGTTAAATACAAATATTGAACAATATACTGTAATTAGGCAGAATATTCGATACATATAGAAATTTATGTTCAAATATTTTTGTATATATTTTGATAGAACATTTTTCTTCTCTTGTCAAATTTTTATTTTGAAATTAGTTCTTTTAAAATAAATACAACAGCACTATATATCTATATGAATGCGTAAATATGTGCTATTTATTGGTTTTAATTGAAATCTTTTTTCTAAATTGCTTGTAATTTATCGTCGTTTACCAAGAAGGATAGATTCCGATGGAAGACGACGTTTGCCAAGAAGAATAGATTCTGATGGAAGACGACGTTTTCCAAGAAGGATAGATTCTGAAGGAAGACGTCGTTTACCAAGAAGAATAGATTCTGATGGGAGTCGACGTTTACCAAGAAGAATGGATTCTGATGGAAGTCGACGTTTTCCAAGAAGAATACCATGCGATTCCAATTGACGTTTTCCCATCATAAGACTAAAATATTCATCAGGAGACACACCATGGAAGTCTGTACTTTGTCTTTCATTTAATAAATTTATATGATCTTGGTTGTCATCATTTACTTTGGCTGCACTAGAATCATCACTATCATCTTTGTTCAATACCGATGCAGCATACATTGAGTCAATCAACAAAGCAATACCTTAGAAACAAAAAAATCCGGATTAAGTTTTCTAGAATTTTATTAGATGATTAATCATTTCAACATGGAAAACATGTTCATATCTATCTTTGATATGTTTATATGTAATAATACTTTTAAAAAAGTAAATTTTTTGTTTTTTTTTGTTTGTCTTAACTTACCAATAATGAGTAGAAGACTGTAGGTTATCGAACTGGAAACCATTATGACTGAATTAGAGAAAAAAATGAAGGTGACTGGTGAACGTTGTAAAAATAGCGTGGTTGAGAATGAACTTCGGTGCTAAAATATACTTACATATATATACACGCAACTATGTCGTCTCAAGAGAATATGAATATGATTATTATCATGTTGCTTCTTTGTTTTCTGTTCGTTCAATTTTCTTGTCTCTATTTTAACAGCTTATATTGTATGATAAAATCAAAATAAACATAGAAGAGTAGTAAGAATTATTGTTCGAATGATCCCAATGAATATATAGTATCTTTTACAATCGATTTAATGATTAGTACGAAAATAAAAGATTTGGTAGCAAATCATATACGTTCGAATATACATCCATTGTTTGTATGTAATAGAGAATTACAGAAATAGACATAATAACTGTTAATTGAACATGTTTTAAAATTTCTTTTTTTATAGCAATAGTTGTAAAACAAATGAATGCTTATTCTCATAGATCTTAATAATATTTCAAAACTTAAATTCAAATAAAAATGAAACTAATGAACAAGAAACATTGTACTCTTAGTACAGTTTTTTGTTACTTGAGTATATGAAACTGTTAAATTGGCATGTCACAATCGTTGACATTTCTTTTCTTTTTTGACGGTCATGGAATTATTAACCTTGATTAAATGATTCTCTTGAGTGCAAATTTTTCGTTTTTTACTCGTTTATCTAGGTCATAGAGACCATCGTTTACATTAGATTATTTGCTCATTTACACATATCTATATGTATAAACTCAACATGTGATAAATAAACATGCAACTTCCACAACTCAATAGTAACACATTTGATTGCATAGATACCAAAATTATAACACGATGACATCAATTTTTGCGTATACAAATTAAACAGATTTTCTATAAACATTTCATTATCGCGGAATTGGATTGTATTGAAAATTTCGTGAATGTGCCAGACAAATACATTTGAATAATAGAATTCTTCAGAGAACATTGATAACAAAAATTTTCTAGCATATTATATGTCTACAAAACTCTCAAAAATATCTATTATTAATGCTGATCCTTTTGTTAATAAATATACAATGTAGAAGAATCTCCAACATGTTCTATTCTTTGTCAAATGACTTTGTTTTTATATTATATTGTTCGGTATATGTAGTATATTAGAAACATTTATTTTTCTTATACTTGAATAATTTTCTTTTGCAGCAATTGAAAAAGAAAGTCATTCAAGTTACTGTTGCTGAAAATGCTTAAACTTTAATTATAAATTTATAAAAAAAAGATCTTTTAATGTATCACGCACTGGATAATTTATTTTAAAATAGATTTCGAGAAATCATGCATCTGTTATATTTATTAGTAGTTCAAATATTAATGCTTTAATATAATTATGTTGTGTTCCTGGAAAAGCTAGTATAGTTATTTTCCGTTGTCTGTTGTTATATTTCTTTTTTTTTCTTCCCATTATCATTCTGGCTAAGTCTTTGGAGACAAAAACCGGAATTATAATTGATTTAGGTATGAGAATTACAAGAAAACGAACACTCATAAAACATGTGAGTTCCGTTCCTATTAAAGTTAACATGCAAAGATATTTCAAACAATTTAAATTACTATCGGCACTGAAATAGAATGACATATAAGAGAAATAAAACTTTATCCAATTATCTTGATTATGTATGGGTCGAACAAAAATTTACATCAGTAAATAAAAAATATAAACTTGAGTCGATTCTTAGTATGGCTTCAGTACAATGTCTATTGTTTTAACCTATCAACTGTCTTCTATTCAATTGATATTTATGATAATAATCAACAATTCTTTTTCGTTATAATATTTATAGTTCTAATTAAATTTACTAATGTACAATATAAATGAATGTTCACCAAACTGTTGTTAACAAATAAATAATATCGAAATGGTACGATTAGGTAGCTCATTGTACGGATAGCATGATTTATTCAATAGAAAAGTCAATAAAATCTTGAAAAAGTAAAAAGATTTTCTAAATATTTGCAAGGTGTATGAAATATATATAAAATATAACATCATTCTGTTAGGTATAGATTCATTCATTAACAATTTAGATAGCAGAGTACATGCATTTTTATATTCATTGACAAGGTCAATTAAATAAAACATGAACCGAGATCTTCCATAAATATTAATATTCAAAAGTAAAACCACAATAGAATAATCTATTCAATGAGATTTTTATAATTATGCTTAACAAAATGTGTAATGGGCGACGGATAATAAACGGATCAAAATATTTCTTTCTTTTTTAGGACACTCCCCAATATATCAGAAACTCTGCATTGAAGCTCACTTGATAATGAATTTTCCATTCTACAAAATTGCAAGTTCTATTATTTGTTTTTTTTTTGAATATCTATCGATTTATGTGATGCTGTGCTCATCAAGTACCATACTAAATATGAGAAGCATTAAATATATCAATAGATCAAGAATTTTCTACTCTTCTTTGTTGGAGGCCTTTTCAAAACTTATTTTCCCCATAATCAGTCATAGACCACAACTACTTTACCATCATATCATCGAATGTAGAATTTAATCCTGAACAAAATAACGTAAAATTCTAACCTTACAGTGAATACCTCGAATTAAGAACAAAAAAGGCGTCAAAAGATATGTTTTACATCGATTTGTAATTAGTGCTGGAAAAAGTATTCTTTTACAGTCGTAATTGGACACATAGATAGTTGTGTAGAGTGGAAGGTTTTCAATTAAGTGAGCTTAAATATGGAGTCTCTAATACATTAGGAAGTGTTCCAAAAAAACAGAGAAATATTTTGACTCGTCTCTAATACGCCATTTATTACTATGGAATTACTACGATTTAAAGTAATCTACAGTTAATTGCCAATTCTTATTAAAATGCTTATCACTTCTGACGAAGAAATTTTCTTTGAATGTTATTTTTCTTGATATGTCGTAATCATTATATGCTGATAACGAGAAGAATCATGAATTAAATTGATTGAATTAGTTCGAAATCTTTGTTTATGTTAAGTGTATGAAAAAAAACACGTATAGATATATATATATACAAATACAACGACAGAGTTAAACACAGGAAAAAAAACGAAGAAAAGAAAACAATAGTAATAATAGTTCTAGTTTATTTCATCTAGTTTTATCCGTTTTGATAATTCATCATCGTCGTGATCGAATATTCGTTTCGAATTGATTTTATTTTCATCTTGATAATTAATATTTTCAATTAAATCATTGAGACATTGTTGAATTAAGTCATTGAGACGTTCTTGAATTAATGTTTGTTCATCATGATTAGACAATAACTTCGTTTTTTTATCTAATTTTTTAGTCTTTTTTTCTTCTTTTCGTCGACGTTTTTCTTCTCGACGCATATTACGTTCTTCTTGTTCAACTTCAATTTGAAGTAATAATAATTCATCTTCTTCATTTAAATCAAGTAATTTTGATAGATCATTCATATCAGTTATATCATCTTCGATAACTTTCTCTGATTTATCATTTAAAGGTGTCAATTCACGTGATGAATGCTAGAAAAAAATAAATTTTTGATTAAAAAATTTTTGGATTTTAAAGTTTAATTCATACTCGGGATAATCGATCATCATTATTAGATAAAGATGATGAACGTGACCATTGTGCACTACCAGTTGAACTTAATGAACGTGAACGTTGTCGTCGTCGTCTTCGTCGTTGTTGTTTGAAATTTCTTTCATCGATCATTGGTGATGGACTACGTTCACCGGATTGTGTATTTTTTTGTTTAAGTAAATCACCTAATGATCCTTTTTTCGGCGGTCCAGCAGGTATCTTATGATGTAATCTTGGTGGTAAACCATAACGACGTTGTTCTCGTCCTGATAATTCAGCTGCTGATAAAGGACGATCACCATCAGGTAAAACAAAATCATCGATATCAAGTAAATCTTCAAGTTCTTGCCGTACTTCAGCTTGTTGTTGTTGTTGACGATTAGCTGCTCGTCGTGCAATAAGATGTGCTTGTTGACTATGAGTTAAACCAGTTATTGGTTTAAATTCAAATCTTGCTGTTGTTGAACCAATCGATGGTAAAAGTTTACCACTTTGATCAGGAAATGGTAAAAATTCATCATCTTGTTGATTACGACGAAGACTTGCTAATTTTTTTATTTGTTTAAAACCTTCATAATAATCATTAACATCTTCATCACCACCAACAACAACAGGTGCAGAAAGACTATTGTGAACTGGTGGAAAATGTTCACTAACGGCTTGCATCGGACGAAATTTACTATTTGGTAAAGATCTAAATAAATATTTAATTATTATATAGATATCATCAATGATCAGCTATAATTTGTTTTCTTTTTGACAGGGTTCCTTTTTTTAATTCTTTGGGTTATTTTTGTTCTTATCTTAAGATTGTTGTTTGATTTCATTTTTCCTAATGATAGACGCTCAATATTACCTATGGCGAGATTTTAAATCTTGAAAAAATAGGTTGAAGACAATAAAATGCTATGAACTATTGACATTTACTGTCAGCAAGTAAATGTTTTTAGAAACACTATAATGAGAGCTGTAGAGTTTTTTCTTTGAGAACCTTGAGAAATTATATGAATTGGTGTAGAATTTCAATGTTTACAAATGTAATACCTTGAGACTAAATGCATCTCATGAACTCATAGCAACTTGGAATCAATATGACCAAGGTTTTTCTAGACATGGTCATAAGAATCAGATCATGGTCACGGCCACAGGTTATGACCATGACCGTGAGTTACAAGATCTTTTTTCCACTTGTTACGATCATTTTTCGTAAATTATATATATCTACTGGCAATGAAGGTCAAATATATTCATTCAAATTTTACAATAAGAACAAAAGTGTGTGGCAATGAAAGGATAGAAGATCATTTGAATAACTTGAATTATTTACGAGATCTAATCATAAACTGATTATACTTATCGCGATGAGTAAATCAAAAATATGAGATTATTTACGTTATATATAACAAAACTGATGCAATCATAGATGATGTAATTATACTCGCGTCTATGACTATTTCTACTCGATCTTTACTCATGTTCACAAATGTTTTGATCTCAGTCACAGTTTCAATTGTGAATTGAGTTGATCTTCAATGCCGGTAGTTCTATCTCAATATATACATACTATTCTAATTCATATAACTCTTAATTTAACATTTAAGAACTAATAATTTACTTTAATTATGACTTACTTCTTATTATTATCAGCCGAAGGTGTTGTTGTATTTGCGACTGCAGCGTTTGGTGCATTATTACTCGTTACGTCTAATGATGATTTCAAATGTGGGTATACTAGAAAAAAAAGAAATCAAAGTTTAATTATATATACCTCTTAGAAACAAAACAAAAGATTATAGAAAAAATCTTGCTCAGTAATATATTATCTGAATAGATAATTATCGTCAAAAAGTGTTCAGATTAACGTGAAGAAAAAGTATAACATCATAGCAAGGAAAAAAAAGTCTTACTCATTTTAGAATAGAAAGTTTTCAAGAATACATACATGAAAAGAGATCTTGTTCATCTTCGTCTGTACTGTCCTCCGTACCACTTGATGATGTCATTGGTTGAGCTAAAATTCGATAGAAAAAAAGAGTTTATTTATAAAATTTATTTAAATTTATTTACCTAATAATATCGTTCGAATACGTTTCTTCGATACAATATCGAGTTGATCGAGACATTTTGCTTTAATTTCGTCAAGAGAACGTGTCTAGAAACATAAAATCGATTAATTTAATTCAATAAAATAAAATTCTATTCGCGTATATTAAAAACTGAAAATATTAAATTAAAGAAAAAAGAAAAATAAGAAACGACTCGCATTGAAAAATGTCTACTTACAGTAAAAATACACAAATTATAATATATTATCAAAGTATGAAAAAGATCTTTATGTCCCAATTATATCTGAAAGACAGGGGATGATATATTAATATATATGTACATATATCTAGAAGCTCTCTGAAAAACAACAACTTTCGTCGATAATTATTCGATGCTGTTCCATCATATAAATTAATCTAAAACAAGGATCGATTATCAAACGAACTTGATTATGTGTATTCAAATTAGACCAAAAAATTATTTTGAAAATTAAAAGAAAACAATTCATTGAATTCTGTTTTCTCATTAATATCTTTTTAAAATAATAATAATAATCGTGGTAATAATAATCACAATAACAGTCATAAAATTTAATTAAAGTTACCTTCAATACGTCTGGTAAAATAGCCTGAAGTTTGTGTCCACGAACACATCGAAACATTTCATGTAGCATACGTTCACGATCTTTGATATAATAACCTATTGGTTTAAGATCTTCATTTAAATTAAGCATGCTTCTATCACTATCATTGCCATCAGAACGATGTTGTTCACTATCACTTGAACCAATCAATTGTCCATTAGCATTTAACTAAAATAATAATAAATATTTATTATTATTATTATTATTATTTTTTTGAATTACTTTTTTATTTGCTCGTAAATTTTTCTTCTTAAGTTTACGTTGTCGTTGTGAATTTGTACTGGCGTCACTTCCACCATCTTTATCTTTCGAACGATCAGAACTTGAATCAGATGAACGATGACGATGTTCATTATTTTCTGATGTTGGACTTGATTCATTCGATCGTTTCATACCTTGTGATTCATAATCATCATGTAAACCAATTGTTTTCATTTGCTAAAATAAAATTGAATTAAATCTAAGAACCTTAATAATTCTTTCGGAATCCACTTTTCGTACTGAGAGTTAAAAACAAAAGTGAGAAAATTTTCTTTAAACTTACTAATCGTCTAGCAAGGCCATGAATTTTCTTTTCTACTTCTTCAACATTTGATGCTGGAACAACACCACCAGCAGCTGCTTGTCTTTGTTGAAATCGAGCATAAGTTTTAAATTTTTGTACTTCTTCTTGTTGTTTTCTTGATCGTTCTCTTTTATTATGATTAGCAGCAGCAGCAGCATTAACTAATGTATTAGCAAGCATTTCAGCACTATTATTTTGCATAATACCAGCTAATAATGAATTAAAATTAGCTTGATCTTGTAAATTTTCATGTGAAGGTGCTCCTGATTTTGAATGTTGTGTCGTAGCTGTTGATGTTGTACGGTTTCGATTATTTTTTGTAGATGAACGTTTTTGTTCATTAGATTGTTTATAGACTGGTGATGATCGTAATTTACTACTAGGTTTTTGATCTTCATCATCATTATCATCATTATTACGATGTTTTCGACGATTATTATCATCTGAATCCGAATCAGATGATGAACTTGATTCACGTCGTTGTTTTGAACGTTTTTCCGGTGGATTAGCAGCATTTGCTGCTTGTTCTTCTGCTTCTTCATCCGATGCTGTAAATATATTTCTTCCAAGTAAACGAAAATTAAAACGCATTTCACGTGGTATATGTTGAACAGGAAATGATGCTTGATATAAATTACTTATTTTTTGTCCCGAACTTATTTTTTTATAATTATCTTGAAATTGTTGATAAAAACGATTGTTTGGATTATTTGGATTAGCAAATTTTTGTGAACCGGGTTTCTGATTATTTTGTTGTTGTTGTAACATATTAAGCATATCATGAACATAATCAGGATTATTCATTGCACCACCACGACCACCACCACCGCCACCACCACGACCACGAAAATTATTTGATGGTGGTCGATAACCACCAAGTAAAGATTGTGGTGGACCATTACCACCTGATCGACGATTCATATTAGTACGCATAGGTGGTCCACCCATCATAGGTGATGCCATAAAAGGAGGCATTCGACCACCTCGAGGATGCATACCTGGAGGTAAATAATGACGTGGCATATTTGGAGGAAAATTTGAATGTGTCATAGGTGCATAAACATTTTGCATGTTTGAATTAGAACGACGAAGTGAATTTTTATGACGATAACGTGTTGGTGTTTCTCGTGATGATGATCTAAATGTCATATTAGATATGATATTAGGATCTTTTTTTAAATTATGCTTCATAATTCTGGAATAAAAAATGAGATTTATTATTCCTATTTTTTTATGCAAGAAGATGAAGATTTTTTTTTCTTATTCAATTAGTTTATGCAATGATCAGTAGAGATGATAAAATCACGGTGAATTTTCATATGTCCCTATCTCTTGGAACTTCATCATATCATTGCTTTCAAGTAGAATCGAACCAATAACCATAAAAATACCTACTCTATCCACTAAACTATAATATCACATTTAAATTGCAATATTCTATTTTGACTTTAGAGTAAGGAGAAATTCTTTAAATAGAACTAACCTGTCACTAGATCTTTCACTTCGAGATCTTGTTCGACTTCTTGTTGGATTATTTCGTTTTGATGATGATCCAGATGAATCACGTTTTGAACGCTGTGATTTTTTTTTATTATTATTATTATTGGACGATTTTTTTTCATTATTACGTGTTTCATTTGTTGAAGTAGGTTTTGGTTTGTCTTTAGAATTTTTTGTTTTATTGGATGATTTTTTTGATGATGATGATGGTATATTACGTCCATATTCATCAGATGATCTTGATGATGATGATTCAGAACGTGTTTGTTTATTATGTTTAGATTTATGATGACTAGCTTTTGTTTTTTTCTTTTTTATATTTTTCGACGATGATGATGACGACACAACAGTTACTTTCGAAGATGGTTGATGTGTACCTGTTTTGCTATCTGTACCCATGAGAGAAAGAGAAACAAATAATATAATCGAGAAAATAAAATTAAAATCTAGAAATAAATAAACATATTAATTAACAAAGGGTTAACACAACACAACTGCAAATATGTAAGACATTGTGAAATATAACGTATTTATTGCCTCGATGTTGGTTTTATGTATATTAAAACCAATGAAAAAATCATTATATAGAGGTCGTCATTGTTTGCATTTGAATCAGTCAATGAAATATGTTTATAGATGACTATTTTGTATATGCATAGAATAGAAAAATGCTTTCATCTTGTTCATTGATTACAAAACGTGCTTTTTCAAAAGATCTTCTTGCATCGCAATGGAAACGAGCAGACCCAAATAGATACTGGCGTGCTCAGTAAGATTCTATTTTTTTTCAAAAAATTTTAGTTTTATTATGTATATTTTAGGCATAAATTACCCAAAGATGATCAAGAGCATGGTCCACTTGCTGAGTTACCTGATTATTCTTACTTAAGTAAATATTTGATGAAAATTAGAATAAAATAATTCTTTCTAATAGTAAAATAAAACTTAAATATCTGAAGAAACTCTGTTCTTAAAAAAAAATCTTAGTTTTTTCTTTCAAAATTTTTCAGTATAACTATTAAAATTGTCTATAAAATATGTTTGGCATTTTTAATTATTTCTTTCTTTCTTAGATAGTGAACCATCACATTTATCAACAGTACAACGTAAAAGATATGATTTTAATTCATCTGTTGTTCATCGTATACATGAACTTGATGCAGAATTAACTAAAGCAAAAGCGTTGTATGCAGAAAAAATAACATCAACAATGACAGATTATAATAAAACTGTTCAAATTGCTAAACATATTGCAACACCATCTTCATCAGAAATAGTTAATGTTAAATCATTAAATAAAGCAGCTAAACCATCAATTTCTCATCCGAATGATTATTCATTGCAACCAAATCTACTCAATGCTCTTCGTGAAGCAAAAAGTTACAATGAAGCTTATGAAGAAGTTGTTGATCCAGTTGGTGCGATTGTTCCAAATAAACTTATGCATATCGAACGACCACCTTACAAACGTACAGGTGAACGACGTCGTTATCATAAAATATTTGCACTTCGTACACCTAAAGTTCGAGTGTTTCCAAGATAAAAATAAAATAGATAAATCAACATGTTTTTGTTTGATGTATATTTATGAATTGATGATCAAGTTTTTTTATGACCTAGTTTATAATTTTTAATGGAACTGTTTCATCGTTTAAAAAAAAATTTATTTAGAAAGAGAAGAGTAATATATGTAGAGTTAAATTATGTTTCACATCAGCTCATCGGTTTACAGTCTTGTTTTGCAACTATGAAGTTTCTAATATTTGCTGGCTTTGAATACTGATTCTGTATTTGTGTTTAGTAAAAATGACGAAAGTTACCTTCGTTTATAACAACAGTTTATTAATCTGTTTTAAAAAAATGTTATTGATCAAATCAAGTTGAAAGCTAAATTTAGACTTCAACTCTCAAAAAACAAACCATGTTTTTTAATAACCTATACTCAAAAGAATATGCTTTATTTTAAAATAAAAGCATTCGTGATATAAATAAATGTTTAATTATATTTCTAAAGCTAATTTGAGGAATTTTCTCAAAAATATGACCAATAAAATATAATTGATGTAATACATCATTGTAAAGTGCACGACAAATTTTATCATTTATTCTCAAATGAACATAAATAATATGGAATCATTTCATATACATCTTCTTTACAATACTTTGAATGTTTTGATCGATTTCAAGAATGAATATTTTTTTTACTATCGTTTATTTTATTTTATTTCAGCATTAAGCAATGCTTTTAATTCTATACAAAAATGATAAATCGGAAAACCCACTACATTAAAATAATCACCATTAATTTTTTTTACTAATGTTGCACCTAAAGATTGAATACCATAACTTCCTGCTTTATTCATTGGTTCACCTGTTTCAACATAGGCTCGAATAGTTTCATCATCAATTGCACCAAATATTACATCAGTTGTTTCAGAAAATGTTCGCATTGTCATATCTCCCTGTAGGATACATACACCAGTGCATACTTGATGTGTATTATTCGAGAATGCTTTAAGCATACGAAAAGCATCATCTTTATCAGATGGTTTACCATACGCTATATTATTTTGTAAACACATTGTATCAGCACCAATAATAATTAAATTTTTTTTTTCATTCTCATTTAATTTCAATTGATTATACACAAGACGACATTTATGTTCAGCTGTATCAATAACATATTGAGAAAGATTTTCTTTATAAGATGTAAGATCAAGATCTTCAGCAAAATCCGATACAATTATATCAAATTGTAAACCAATTGATTGTAGTAATTGTTTTCGTTGTGGTGAACTACTAGCTAATATAATTCGTTTTTGTTGAAGAATATGTTTCAATGGTTGTAGCATCTAGAATAAAATAAAGAAATTGTATTTCAAAACTTTTTCAATTTGTTCTTTAAAATATAAAAAAATATGCGACAGCAATAGAAAGCGAAATAGTTAAATTGTCATAATCTGAAGAACTAAAAAGTTCTGCGATAGCTGCAATAAAACAAATTAAGCTAATTTTGAGAATATGAATCGATTGGAAACCGACAAGAAGCGAAATGTAAGTAACTGACGCAATAATTCCAACAATAAATACGGTCAAAAAACCATCTAATGATTTTGACCCATAAATTTTTCGTTTATAACCATAACGCATACCAATAACAGCAGCTAAGCCATCACCCCATGTTAATATAGCCATGATCATTGATCCTAATACTGTTCTATACAGAACAGTACCACATATAATTATTACAAAATTAAAAAAAAGTGGTCCACGTATAAGTTCATATTGATGACGATGACGAGTCATTATATCAATAACAAGATCATGTTGTCGATTATCAAAAGACTTTTGTTGACTTTTCCATAGAAGTATAACAGTCCAAAGAGCATATGGAAATATATTTAAATATTTTGATAAATATCCATTATCATTATAAAAATAAAGAGCAAGATAAAGTGTTCCACCACCAATATGAACAACTTTTCGCGAAACTTCATTTGTAATCAATTTGTTTTTATTCAAATAACTCAAAAGAAACGCAATACTATATGTAATACTAGTAACAATCAGCGAAATGATTGCATTTTGTATGAGAGCTGAAACCATCGTCTAGAAAATATATTAAAAGTTTGAATAAAATTATAAATGAAAGAAGTTTCTTTTTTTTGTCTTTTGAAATATTTATTTATATATCGGAAATAAATCTCTTTAAAATAACAATATAACAAAAACAAATGAAATCTTTGTTTGTTTTTCACTTATTTCTTTTGAATGTTCGTTGTTTTTCTGCATGCTCCACAATTTTTTCTTCCACACGTAAACCTTTACGTCGACGAACATCATTCATATATTTTTTTGCACGATTTTCAAAATCAGCTTTTTCACCGAAATGAAGAAATTCTTCTTCTGTTTGAGGTTCCCAAAATGGATCAAGTTCAATTATTTCCCAATAAGTTTTACCGGATAATTGTGGTGATGCTAAACCACTCGCTTTTTTACGCATTTCTTCAGCAAAACCAAAACTTTCAGCTACTGGTAATGCAGCTTGAATAATAAATGTACTTGTTCCTTCTTTCATATCTTCATTTAATACACGTCCATTTCGTTTATTTAAAACTGAATAAGCACGACCTATAATAAATAAATAATTGAATTAAGAGATTCAATAAGAAAAGAACATAGAATATGATTGTTTGTTTATTTATTTACCTAATGCTTCAGCATTGACCATAAGTTCACATTTATACATCGCTGCAACAAGTCGTCTTGGTTGAGAATCAAATGCTTTTCGACAACCATCACGTATAGTTGATACTATTTGACCTGAAAGTGGTCCACGTTTAATAACAATTTTTGATTTATCAATAACACGACGAGGTTTTTCTTGAGTATTTAATGCAGAGGATTCATCACTTATTATACTCAATGTTTCTAGTACACTTTCTACTTCATCAATTGGATTTATCATTGTTGTTGTTGCTGCTGTTGAAGAATCAACATCATTATTTTCTAATGTTTCTTGTTCTTCATCATTATTAATAATTGTATCTAGTGTCCATCGTTCAATAATAAAACCAACACCCATCAATGGTTCATCACATAATGATCCTTTAGCAGTTGCTAATTGAAATCCACTAACAATACTTAAATCATAATCATCTTTTGATGATGATGATGAATTTGTATTTGATTTTGTTTGATTATTTAATGCGGTAGTCCAAATGGATGTATGACGTTGTTTATAAATACTATTTGGAATACGACCAAGTAATAGATTAGGTCCACATCTATGTGGGCCAAATGACCATATTTCATCAACTGTATCCGAATTCCACATGTTTCCATTAGCTGCAATAAATTCTTCATTTAAACGTTCTCGTAATTGACGAATTTGATTAAGTGTTTGATCATTTAATTCAACTGTTACTTTTCTATCATCACGACCTTGTACTTGTTCAATTATTGCTAGTAATGAAGCATTCTCATCCAATAAACGAGTAACTGAATCAGGTAATGGTACTGCTCGCAAATGAAATGTACATTGATGATTTTGTGTACTTAATTCAACTAAACCATCCTCTAGTAAAATAGAATAATTTCAATAATATTTTTATAAATATATTCATGTCAAGAAAATTACCTAATAACCATGGAGGTCGTTCTTTTGTTATTCTATTTGATTTAAATTGTTGTTGTTGACCTGCTAATGCTTCATTGAGAAAATCAACTTTCGGTGGTGGAATAATTGTTTCACGAAATGGAATAATTGGTGCAGAAACATTAACTTCAACACGACCATAACTAAAAATAAAATAAATTAAAATTTTCGTTTTAATAGATAATAATTTCTATTACATTTTAGTAAGATCATCGATACATCTTTGTAAATGTACTTCACCAGCTGTTGAAAGAATATATTCACCGGTATCTTTCAATGTACATTCAACAAGTGGATCAGCTTGATTTAATAATCGCATACCACGTCGAAGTTGTTTCATTTGAGCTAGAAAAAAAGAATTATTTTGCATGTAAATAAAATAAAACTTAAAAGTTTTTACATGGATTTTTCGCCTCGATTGCTACACGAACAATAGGTGATGTTTCAAAATGAAGACCAGTAAATGATGGACAAAATATATTTGTTGATAATGTTGCTGATTTTAATACAAGAGAATCTAATTGACCAATAGCTAAATTAAATAATTAAATATAGAATAAATTTATAACAATAAAGTAGACATACCAACTATATTTCCAGCAGGTACTTGATCAAGTACTGTAAATTCACGACCCATCATTAGATAAAGATCTTGTACAATAAATTCATGTACATGATGAGAAATACTATGAGCAGACATTTCATTAAGATCCTAAATGCAAAAAAAAATAAATCAGTTATAAGAATACTCATACAAAAAATAATCAATTCGTCTTACTTTGCCAACAAATAATGCTGGATCATGACGAGGACCAAGAACAAAAACTTTTTGTCCTCGTTTTATTCGTCCACTAAAAACACGTGCAAATGCAAGAAAAGCATTTTCATCCGCAGGTTCACTCGATTCCGTTTTTGTTGCATTTGCAACAATATTCTCTGTTATAGCGTGTCCATTTTCTACAGATTGATTAGTAGAGTCTTCATTGGCTGTTGTTTTATCAAGTTGTTTTTGTTTGAGAAATTCACGTCGTTGTGCTATATCTTCAGTAGTTAATGGTCTAGAAAAAAAATAATTTTATCTTTACAGAACTGAAGCCTTCGATACGTTAGAGAATTCTAGAAATTTAGGTGTGATTTCTAATAACACTATTTTTTTCTAAAGAATATCAAATATTGCTGGAAATATTTGTATTCTGTATAACTACATACTTGGGTAAAAGTCTTTTGCTCTCCTTGTCTCTATACTACTCAACATGATATATACCTGACTGAAATGAAACTCTCATATCGTATCTTTATTTAATCATAATTTCGATGTAAAGTATGATGGCATGAAGACAATGAGAAGAAAAGATTTTTATACAACGCTATAAATAATTTAATAATAGGCAATTGAACTTTTGTCTGGCGGCTTTTTCTCATAACTTATCTAGCTCAGGGCTGATCTACTGTATATGCGTAATCCTTCTAGAAACGTGACAGATAACGTCTGCGGTCGGCTTTGAAAATATTTCAGCTTTTTACATAAGAACCATCTATTGGCATTTGTTTTTGATAAAACCTTATCTAATCCCCATACAAAAAAAATAGATGAAATATTTTAATGAAACTATTGATATTTGTATTCAAATGTCGGAAATCAACAAAAAAGATTCATCTACATTTTCTACGCATCTTACTTGTGTCTATTTTGTGATAAGGCACTGCTATGTACAGAAAATAATTTTGAAACATAGATTATTACTGGTTCTTGATCATCACTTGAACAATTAACAAATGCTTTAAATTAAAAAAAATCGAATAAACAATACTAATAGAATTGAATTAAAAATGTACCTTGTTTTAATTGTTGTGTTTCTGGTAATAAAGTATCAAAACGACGATTTTTATTGCACATTAATTGTTCAATTTTTTCCGTATTTAATGCTTTTGGATGTGGAAGTTCAACAACAACCATATCTAAATGATGTTTAGAAAGAAGTAAGTCTTGTTTTATTTTAAATACAAAAATTAACTAACCAAACACAGCTGAAGCAACAGGTAACCATTGATTGAAAAGAAGTTGTAACGGAACCATTGGATCAGTATGTTTAATATCTCGTGGAGTTAACTTAGCACCAATTGACGTAGCAATTTTCTCTAGTTTATCATTATCACTAAAAAACAACAGCAAATTCGAACTGATTCAAGCAAAAATTAAATGACAAACCGTCGAATTATAATTGCATCATAAACACTCCAAATATTTTCAAGAATAAATTGAACAAACATTGGTTTTTGACCTTTACTCTTAAATTAACAAAGAACAAAACATAACTATTCAGTTTCAATTGTAATTATTTAAATATAATTACTTGTGCTCCTTTATGAACTCGTTTGGTTTTTTTATCAAAATAAAAATCACCCCACAATGTTTTCATTAATACTTCTCGTTTAAGTGATAATTTTTTTGCATATATATCAGCGAAATGATGAATTCTATTGATGAAAAGTAAGTATGTTTTTTTAGCTGAAATTATTAACACTAAATGTATACCCAAATGCCCAACCATCCAATGCACTAGCAAAAAGCACATTATTATTCTGTGGTGAAAAACATATTCGTGATTCATTTTTTGCCCAATCATCATCATCATCTTCATTATTTTCATTCTTTGCCTAAATAGATTCATAAGTCGTATTCAATTAAAAATATATAATATTACTTCTTCGGGAACTTCTTGTTCACCCTAAAACACGAAAATATACGATTGGAATTTGAAGGAAAAAAAACAAGATTGTTTTTTTATTTCTTACACATTTTTCTAATAATAACGATGCAAATTGTTCTGCAACAACAGCATTCAAATGTTCAAGAATAGCACGAATATGCAAATAAGCTTCAAGTGGACTCATTTTAAGTCCAATAATTAATCGATCAATTTTATTAAGAACTAAAATAATACGTAAATTTTCAAGCCATGCTTGTCGAAGTGCTGCTAAAGTCTATATAAGAAAAAAATAAAAGATAAAATCAAATAAATTTAATATTAAATTGTTTTATATACCTGAGGACAAACTCCTTCAACTACATCAATAAGTATAATGGCACCATCACAAAGACGAACTGCAGTTGAAACTTCAGATGAAAAATCTACATGTCCAGGTGTATCAATAAGATTAATTAAATATTTTTTATTATCTAAATAAATAAAATTGAATTTCTCTTTTTTCTATTTAAATCTAAATAGAAACCTTTTTCATGAACAAGTGAAACAGCACTAGATTTCATGGTAATACCACGAATTTGTTCTGCTTCTAGACTATCCATTAAACGTAACTAGAGAAAATAATAAGTGATATATAAATAAATCTATTCCATTTGTTTTGTTCTAATTGTTTTTTGCTACTTACTTTACCGGCTAAACGTGTCGAAATAATTCCATTCGAAGCAAGCAAATCATCAGCTAGCGTTGTTTTGCCATGATCAACATGAGCCAATATACATATATTACGAATAGATTCAGTGTTTTCTTGTAGTTCACAAAGAATCTCTGACGGATAAGTTATAGTAGGTGGCATAGTTGTCTGAGTCTATGTTGCTTTTTTTTTCTTTTACTCTAAATAAATGATCCATTATGGACTTATGTAAATCATGACAGAATAACTATGACTGATGTTGTAATTACGCAAGATTAAAAAACGAATATATATATGATTCTATTTACACTCGTTCTTCAAAATGAGAAAAAAAATGAAAAATAACGCTGACAGGAAAAGTATAGCAACAAAAAGAAATGTCGAAGACAGAAGAAAAACGGGAAAATAAGACTAATGTAATAATATCGGTAGTGTCTAATTTTCTTTATTTTCGATACCATTTTTGTAATGTATCATAACGTTTAATCTTGCGTTGTAATTGCAAAACACCATAAAGCAATGCTTCTGCGCTTGGCGGACAGCCAGGTACGTAAATATCAACCGGAATTATACGATCACATCCACGTACCTATTGTAAAAAGAATAGATTATTTGTCGAGAAATATTACGTATTAACGTACTACTGCATATGAATAATGATAGTAACCACCACCATTAGCACATGAACCCATAGAAATAACCCATTTAGGATGAGGCATTTGCTCGTAAAGTCGTCGAATAGCTAAACGAAACAATTTTCAAAAAAAAAATAAAATCTTTCAACTAATATAAGAAATTTTTGAGTATTACCTGGTGCCATTTTATTAGTAAGTGTACCAGCAACAATCATTAGATCAGCTTGACGTGGACTGGCACGAAAGACAACACCAAATCGATCCATATCATAACTAAAATTCATCGAAAAGTAAATAGATTTTATGATATATAAATATATGAAATCGAAGTTTACCGAGGAGCAGCCATGTGCATCATTTCTACAGCACAACAAGCAAGACCAAATGTAAGTGGCCAAATAGAACCACGACGAATTAAATTTTGTACATCATCTAGACGAGCTAATGCTACTTCAACTGCACTATCACCGTAATGTTTTCCTGGAACATTTTTATATGGTGATGTATTGGTTAATACATTTTGCTCTTGATCTTTTTGGATTGCTGGATTTGTCGTATGTTCAACGACGGATGAAGTAGCTGGTGCTGTAGCTGCTCCTCGATTTAATATTTTAGATGGAAGAGCAAGTCGAGAGAAAGGCAAAGAATAACGTAAAAGTGCCATTGAACAATGACCTAAATAACGAACTAAAATAAAACTAGTTGAAAAAAAAATGAAAATATTATTAAATATTATTTTCTAGCATATTCGAGTTCAAATAAGCAATCATCAACAAGATTCATTCCGTAATATTTTCTCCATGTATTATCATCTCATTTCTGATTTGTTAAATTACTTTTCAACAGATGTCATTAGTTATTGACTTATCATTATTCTTAATATAAAGTTTGAAATATCATTCACAAACTAGAAACATGATTTAGATTAACAATTAATTTTAAAAATATATTTAAAGTGAACTATTTATGATAAACGGATTTTGTTATTTGTAGTATTCAATTGATGTTCTGGCATAGAATAAGAAACAAAGTATGGAAATTCTTGCACGTTTTCACTGTAGCTTTCTATGATAACGATACTTAACTTACACGTATTCATATACAATCGTGCACAGACAATAGCAATGCAACTTATATTATTAAACGTTATATTGATTGTATTTCTTCCTTTATGTTATAGTGAATTCAATAGAAGTGGTAAGTAATTAATTTGATTTATATCATTTAAAATAAAATTATTATTTGTTTTGTTAATTTAAGATTCAACTACGACTGTTTGTGGTAAATGTTCTTCTTGTTGGACTCTTTTTAGTAAAAATTATGGTTCATGTTCTACGGAAGTATATGATTTAAATTTTGATTTAAATCCTTTTAATAAAATACAACCAGTTTGTATTGATACATTGGTTTTGCTTATTATAATATTCTTAAGTATTGTTACTATTATACCAACTTGTCTTTGGCTTATCTATCTATGCATTAGACGTTGTCGAAATATCGATGCAAAATATGTTGTTAATGAACGAATAATGATGTAATGAATATTATACCCATAAAATATTTGAACATTACTTTGTTTATTTCTTTTTTCCATTTACTTATGAACGATAAGAATTTTATATGATTTTCATGATACATAGGAAATGAATAGCTTATAAAATTCCCTAGTATCGATATATATACATGCTAAATAAAATTTTACAATATCATTATTTCTTTCTTTAATCACAAGAATCAATTGTAAATGTATACAAGTAAGTTAGCCTATCAAAGTTGATACATGAATACTTAACATGTATAACGTATAGCCTGTTATTGGATAAAAACATTGAACTTTGAGTGAAGTTCTACAATAGATCGTATTGCTAAATCTAACAAGTTTTCCATTAAGTACATGAATATCAATAGTCATCTCATGTGTTTAGCTTCATACATAGAAAGAAAAATGTATCGAATTTACTAATCAGATAGAATTTACAATTAATAAAAAGTCAAATGAATTAATAAACAAGAAAATAAGATATACATTAAATAATTGATAATAGACTGATGTCGATTGTATTGATATTAAACAAAAACTTATTATGTATCCTAATTGACGCTAATGAATGTGTATATAAGGATAATTATTTCTTTGTATTCATATTTATAATTGATTTAGTCGTATAATAATTATAGTTTATTTTTGAAACGAATTTCACATATATATTTTCGTTCGATGTAACAAGTATTGTTTGTCATTATTTCGACTTATAAAATTCTTTGACATATAATCACGCTTAAACTTTCATTTTTCATAACGACGTGAGACATTGTTTCACCATCAAGAATCTTCTATCTTAAATAATAATTTATTCGAGAAAAGCGAAGAGATACAAAAAAACATGGATTTATTTGCTGATTATTATTGATCGTTACAAAAATGAAGTTGATAAATTCATATTGGCACAAATACTTTTTTGTGATTGATTCATGAGAACTTTTCATATTTATTATATTCTATTTTTACTAAGAGATAAATGGCGTACAGGTAGAAAGAAAAACCAGAAACAAAATCATCAGTTACTCAACCATTACCAATAAGCGAAAACAAACATGATACATTTGAAAATGTCTGATGATGAAATCGAAGAATAAAATTTTAATTAAATTCTTTTCTTTTTTTTTCGATAAAATTTCAAGAAAAGATTTTCTTTTTTGCATACAAGATAAAAAGAAGGTTATCTACGCTTAAAAAAAGGGTATACAATATTTTTCTATTCTTCTTCTTCTGCTGGTGGTTCTTCTGCAGGTGTAGGTTCTTCTTCAGCTGCGGGTTCTTCAGGAGCTGGTTCTTCGGGTGCTGGTGCTTCTTCTTCTGGTTCTTCTTCAACAGGTGGTGGAGGAGGTGGCTAAAAAAAGACATAAATATTGATTTATAAAAAGAAAATCTTATTCCAAAGGTGAACATACTAAATCCTCTGATTTATCTTCGGATTGTTGTTTTCTAGCAGCACTTTTAGTTTTACGCACTGAATTGTCATCAGGCGATGGTGCAACTTGTTTTATTTTAGCTTTTGGACGTTCAGCAACAAAATCAGATGATTTTTTCTCTACGGACCAAACATCGCGACGATCTGTATACGTACGACGATCAGTAACTAAATATAATACATCATCATATAATCCTTCTTGCTAGAACAAATAAATAAATCACACATACCACGTTCGTATCGACTGAAAAGTGATACTTTTGGCTTAAGAAGAAATAAGAAAAAATAGAGAAGAAAAAAATAAACAATTTATAGCAAACCGGTGCTTGTGCTGTAATATCATTAACCCCAGTAAAACTAAAATAAATATAAGGAAATATTATTTTGTTTTTGATTATAATATCTCAATACTTACATACCACCACCAAGACCAGTATGAACGATATTTGATTTACGTGTTTTAGCTTTTCTATAAGAAATTTCATAATTAAAAGAATAACAAAAATATTCTTTTACCCTTTTTCAATTTGACGAGCACGTTCACTTAATTCAATCATCTAAGAAAATTAATTTTCTTCGTATTATTTTAATAAACAAAAAATCTTTACTCTAACTTACATCATATTTTTGTCGTTCAAATCGTTCACTTAATTCATAAATAGCACCATGTAATTGTTCGAGAAGTTCATGAAATTCTTTTGCCTTTTCACGAAAAAAAAAAATAATTATTATAAATAATAAAAGTAGAAATAATTCTATAATACTGTATCAATAAGATCTTGTTTTGTTTTGCCATCAAGTTTTAAAGTTGGTATACGTTCTGAAAGTATAGCTCGTTTTTCTCGTTCTAATTGTTCAGCAGATTTATGTAAATCTTCTTTTGCTTTAAGCACATTACTGAAAGCTGAACCACTTGACACTATAAATAAGCAAATCTTTATTTAAATACAAGTTCCTTAATATACTTACTAGTGTCTGAGATCTATTATTATTGTAACAAGAAAAGAATGAATGATATTTGTGACGAAAAGAACAAGATTGTCGATATTCCTTTTTTTTTTATAGATATAAAGAGAAAAAGAGAAGGGAATCAATCAGATTTATCGCTTTGCCTTGTGTACAGTGAATAACCTATCGATATAGTGTGTAATAATAATACGAACATATGTGTTATTTTGTCGTATTTCTCTCTTATTTGCAAGTAAACGACATATATATATCAATATATTTATTCTGGAAGAAAACTGCTGTACTATATTAAGCAATGAGAAATATCTTCTCGCATCTTAGACAATGATAATGTGAGAGAATGATCAGAGTAGTGTACATAATAAATCCAAGAAAAGAAGGAAAAACAAAAGAACAAGATAGAAAACGATTAACATCTGTATTATCAACAAATTTATTCTTATGTAGGTGTTTGTGTATACAAGCAGTGCTGCCACCTTTTGAAGTCCAAAAAGCAGAAAAAAGTTTATAAAAAGCAGAAAATGACAGAAATTTCGCCATCAAAAAGCAGAAGAAAAAGCAGAAAAGATGTTTCTTACGTAAATATACTATGAAGCGTACATGGAATATAATAATTAAAAATTGCGGATAAACTGAGTTTCGTACCACCCTCCCTGAACATCTGGCAACATGTCCGACTGTTCGTAAAGGAAATCGGTTTCGTGCAGGTATTCGAGAGTAACGAATGTCTGAAAAATTTTGATTTCTTGTATGCCTAGTGCTGTGAAACTTTTTTTATATAGAAGATCGTAAAAGAAGAAGCAATAGGTGTTTAACGGACTAACTAGATGTTCAAGAAAGACAGAATTTCTACAGTGCGACTGATTTAACCTAACAGAGCATACCGATCAAGCTTGTATTTAGCATAAAGATATAAATTGACGTTGACACACAGCTCATGAATAAGTTTAACAAGAGATCGTTACGAACATAATAATTTTTCGTAAGTTTTTTATCAATAAGGATAACTAGTAAATATTTTCGGTATTAGTTATGATCTACCGAGCGTATTTTATCCTGACGATACTGCTTTTTTAGTTGAATCTTGATCGCCATTCCTGATTCCATAATGTGTTATTTTTAACTATTTTTGGTTTTCGCGGAGTTCGTAACGAGCACCTGGTACAGAAATTCGGAATGACGAAGTGGTACGAAACGTATTTTCCCCAAAATTGCGTACTAAATTCTAATCTTAATCAAACAAAATAAAGAAAAAGAATGGATTAACAAATATGTGTAATTATTCAACCTAAATGTACAATATTAAGAGAAACAGCCAGCAACTAGTAAACACAAGACAGACAATTCAAGTTGAAATAGGATAACATAGTAATAGGAGTGATTATTGATAAAACTTTATTTTTAGAAGTCGAAAAATGATCATTCAGATGAGAATTATTGATGACAAGTATGAGTGACCTAATATTTAAAAAAGCAGAAAATTCTTTAAAAAGCAGAAAGGACAGAAAAAAAGCAGAAAAATCTTCAAAAAGCAGAATTTTTCTGCTAAAAGCAGAAGAGGTGGCAGCACTGTATACAAGTATATATATATATAGTCTCAAGAGTTATTTTTTATTGAGTAAATCTCGACGTTGTTCGAGTACTGTTTTAGCATCTTGTTGTTCTTGAGCAGCTTTATTTAAAATATCTTGTTGAAATTTTCGTGTTGTATTAATAATAGTATTAATATCCACTCCTTCATTTCCATTATAAGGAATGCGTGCAGCATCACCGTAACGTTGATGAGGAGGCGATTTTGGTAGAGGTGGTACTGGAGCAAATATTCGTGGTGGTGGAGGTGTATATGGTACTGTCTTTTTGATTTGAACAAAAGGGGTTCTTATAATTGTAGTTTTACTTGCTGAATTTGATTCTTGTGGTTCTGGTGATTTAACAATTGGAATAGATATTTGTTGTTGTTGTACAACTTGAGGAATTTCGTTAATTAAAGGTTTTGATACTAGTAATGGTAAAACAACATCAGGTGATTTTGGTGTATCATTGTTTACATCTTTTTCTTTAGTATCATTTACGTCAATAAATTCAAATACTGGTTCATTTGATAAACCTATTTCATCAATAATTTCGAAATCATCATCATCGGTAGCCATGTTAATTTCGTACTTCTCCTCTTTCTAATAGAAATGTCACAAAAAAACAACGGTTTATATTATTTTCTTTTTTTTTGAAAGTCATACATGACTAATAATACAGTTATTACGCAATCATTATGCAAACTTTCATTGCAGTTATAGAGTATAATAACGTTGTTTCTTTCTTAACAAACAATATGATTCATATATTGTAATCTGATTTCTCATTTTTATTCTCGAATAATAAGAGTTTCATCAGCTGGAGTAAAAATCTTTATTAAGAAAAAAAAAAGACAGGTTAATCATGACACTATGTTATCAAAGGAGCATGCAAAGAAAATAGAGTTCTTTCTTGTTTAGGAATTTTAATTTTTAGCATTTGCATCAGGTGGACCAAGTGTGATGGTAAAATCAGGATATTTTTCTTGAAGAATTGTTTTTGATCTTCTATGATCAGCAGCACCATAAGCCTATTTAAAAAAAAGACGGAAAAAATTTAAATTCTTTCATTTATTAAATATTATTTTAATACTTCTGATTGATCGAATAAATTTAATTTTTTCTTTTCAAAATCAGCTTGTATTTTTCCACCACCTAATATATACAAATCATTTAATGGTCCACCAGCTTCACTTTGAAGGTTTTTAAAGAGTTTTTCTAAACAAAAATATGTAAAATAAAATAAGATATTTGCATTAACTATTTTTGTTACCATGGTTATCAACAGCTGCATCACCACGAACTAAATATTTTTGGCCAAGTTGGGCAAGAATATATTTAAATTTGCCTGATTTTGAACCAATATTAACAAGTGGAAGGAGTTTACTCATATTTATCTAAAACATAAAATAAATCTTTTCCATTTCAGAACACCAAGAGAAAAATAAGTTTATGGTAGAATAATGAAATACTTGTTTCAGAAGATATATTGAGCGTATAGTGTACACCCTTTGCCAGAAAAACTCTACTTTTGGATTGTGATCAGAAACTTCTAAAAAGCGCTTCGATGTCCGGGATTGTAATTAATCTAAGACATAAAATTATTGTATAGCTCTCACTTCATTAGATGACTAACTGTTACATATCAGCGATAAAAAGATTATTATTCCTATTTCTCAAGTTCAATTGGGTGGTGTATATGCCATTTGAAATAGCATATTATATTTAATAATACATTTTAATTTCTTATGTTACTATATGAATAACAGCTATGAATTTTCTAGTTATGAAATAAAAAGAAAGAAGTTGCTTGTTTATTAATATCAGAAATATGTTTGCTTGATTAACAATATATAAAAAGATACTAAACTAAAAAAAGTGCATAGCATGTATGTTTGTCTTTATTTATCATCAGAATCAGCTGGTTTGTCAGTTGATATATTAAAATCAGGATATTTTTCTTGAAGTAATGATTTCGCTTTAGCATGATCAGCAGCACCATAAGACTAAATATACAGAACAAAAAATAAATAAATAAGAAAATTCTTGTATATATATTACTTGTGATTCGCCAAATACGTTAATTTGTTTTTTATCGAAATCAACTTGAACTTTTCCACCACCTAATACTTTCAATTCATCAGATGAATTATTTCCGATATCTTGTTTTAATTTTTCAAATATTTTATCTATTCAAATAAATTAAAAATATCAGTAAATAATAAAAAAACACACCTATGGTTTTTTTCTACCATGAAATTCTAAATTTGGGTCACCACGAAGGAGATGTTTTTGTCCTTGTTGTACTAAAATATATTTAAATTTACCGGATTTTGAACCGATATCAACTGTTTGTGAACTCATTTTCAATCTAGAATATATAAATATTTATTTAAAAAGAAGAAGAAGAGAAAAGAAAAAAAAAGATGAGATCAAAACAAAATTCGAGATTATTATTTTATTTTTATAAAATGGACGGATTAATTATTTATCAAAACAAATCACATAGTTATTTTCGTACTGCTGTCGTTGGGCGATCATCATTTGTTGATTTCCTAAAACAAAACGAAGGAATTTATTTAACAAGCTTAACTATTTTATTATATACTTTTTCTTTTCTTTAACTTTAAGTTTTTTCTTTCTTTCCATAAAATCCTGCATAGCTTTTTCTGCACCTTTAGCTGTATAAGCTAAATAAACATGTGTTAAATTCAAATCATCATTCTAAATAAATAATAGAATTAAATTTTTATTCAAATTTTTCGAAATTTATTTTTAAATACCTCAGGTTTTTTTAATTTTTCTTCATTTTTCATATTATTTCCAGTATATGCAATAGATTTAAGACTCCATTCTCCAAACTGTTCATTCCATAAGGCATTCTCTTGAATAAGTTTCTTAAATAAAAATTTTATTTAAAAATAAATATTTCAATAAACATCAGAAGACTTACAAGATATTCATCAGGTACATAACTTTTAATAATAAATTCTTGTTTTTGTAATTCACGAAATGCTTGAGTATTAGCTTCAATTAATTCACTACGTTGTTGAAGATATTCACGTTCAAGATCAACTAACTAAACATTTTATATATGATTTAATAAAACAAATATTTCGAAATTAATTTTACTTACTTCTCGTTTTGCATCTTGATATTTTTTTCCAAAAATTTTTAATTTTCTTGTTAAATCTTCAGCTTCTTCTTTTAATGTTGTATATTTTACTTGAACATCAAGTGTTTCAGCCTATATAAATCATAAGTTCTTCTCTTTTTATATCTAGATATTGTCTACTGAAACTTTTAGAAATATCATCTTTTTCTATTTCGTATAGTTAGATTCAGTTCTCTTAGATGAAAAAATATCTGAACTTGAATTTCTCAACCTATGTTTGATTTTAAGGGCATATATGTTCAGATTTGTGATAGAAAATTGTATATATTAAGACCTCTTTTTGTTGTAATTGTTTTCGTAATTGTTCTTCATTTTGTACACGTTTTTCTAATTCTTTTTCGCTCTCTTCTATAAATATTGCTTGTTTTTCGGCTTTGTCAAGTAAATTTTCTCCACCAACAATTAATTTTTTTTCTAATTGTCGAAGTTTTTCTGCAAGATCATCTTGTTCTTTCCTAAATTATTGAAATAGAAAAAAATAGAAAATTTAGAAGAAAATATTTTACATTGTTTGAAGTTCTTCTTGTTTTTCACGAAGTGCTCGAGCTATTTTATCTCGTTCTTTTTGTGATTTTTCCGTATCACTTTGTAATTTTCTTCGTTCTTCATCGATTTGACGTTCAATTTCTTCTTTACGTTCTTGACGAACATTTAATGGACGTTTACGTACTACACGCTGACCATTTTCATCAGTTTCACTTACATCAGAACCTGATTCTTCACCATCATCTCCTCCATCTAATTATAACATACAATTTAAATAGAAAACTATGAAATAATAATAATGATTACATACTTTCTTCAACTTTTTTACGTAAAAGTTCAATTTCATTTTCTAAATTTCGAATCATAGCATCTTTCGGATCTTCATTAACACGTGCATGATTTTTGATATTTTTAGCTCGATTTGCATATCTAGTAAATAAGAATGAAATGAAAATATTAATTAATAATATATTTACCTTAGAGTATTCAATGTTTCATCATAATTATAATCAGCTGGACCAATATTTGCAATCTAAATAAAAGCAAATTTTATTATTTAAATAATTTAAAAGAAAATTCTGAGATATATAAATAAATTGCCGGGCTAGGGTTAGTCTTTCTCCCAATCCCTACTTTTTGTAAACGCTTCAGAGCGTTACAAACAAACAACGCATAAACAAAACAAAAAAATAAGTCAATTAAATCATACACAAATAACTAACCATTGCTGTTTTAGAATTTCCACCTAATGAATCTTGTAAAAGTCGAGTTAATTTCGAATTTCGATATGGTACATGTGTTGATTTTCCATCAACTAATGCTGATATAACATTGCCTAATGTTGATAATGATAAATTAATTTTTGTTGCTTCTTTTAATGTATTTCCTTCAGCGCCTGATTTTGATTGACGTTCGCTACCCTAGAAAAATAAAATTCATGAAAATTTTTCATTCTTTATCGAATAAATTTCTACATACTGCTAAATCAACCATATGTAATTTCCCAGCTCGAATACGTTTTTTACCATCTGGACCAGTGTCACTACATTCAATTGTAATTGAAAATATTGCATGTGATCGACTACTACGTTCGTTCATAAGAGTCTGACCCGTATGACCTAAAAGAATAGAATTTGTTTTTAGGAAAAATAAAATAATTAAGAAAAGAAATGATTTTTACGATTGAAACTGCCAGAGCGCATTAATGTTTCCATATCTGTTGCTGAATGACAACCATGAGCAGATAAACCATCAGCATAAACACCAACATTTGGTCGTTCTTTAATCTAAATTAAATTATGTTTTTTTAGTTTTTATTCAATAGATTGAATTACTTCTAAACTTTTATCACGATCTTTACCAAGTAAATCTCGAACTTCTTCATTATATATTTCAAGATATGACACACTAACTAAATATCTAAATAAAAATAGAATTTTGTTTTTGAGAATAAAATATCTTTATTTAATGTATTCATATATCTTACTGAACATCTTTGTTAGCTTTGGATATTTCAAGAAAAACATGTGCAAAAGAATTTGGAATAATACCATAATTTTGATTATTATCTTTTTTTCCTTCCATTGTAAATGTTTTGCCTATTAAAATTATATACATGTTTTCACGTAGAAATATATTGAAAAATAAAAACGATCATTAATTACTAACCGGTGCCTGTTTGACCGTAAGCAAATATTGTTCCATTGTAACCTTCAAGTACAGCATCAACAATTGGACGAGCAACCAAATTATAAACATCAACTTGTTTAGAATCTGGTCCAAAAACATAATCAAATGTATATGCTTTATTTGTATCATCATTGCTATTTTCTGGTGCTCGAACATCAATTGTTCCGGACGATTCATTTACCTTTAAATGAATGCGCGAAAGATTTTGTTAGAGAATATATTGACAATTTTTTTTGTCTCTTTACTTACAAAAACAATTGATTTATGATCGTTGCTCACTTCTTTATTACTCATCGGTCGACACCGAACAACGACTTTAACATTATTTGCATTTCCACTACTTGCCGATCGCTTTTTTTCCTAAGAAAAATTCAAAATAAAGTTTAGATTTTCAAAATACGTCAATCACCAACCGGCGGCATAACTTTGTTCTTAAATCTAAAAATCATAAAACGTTTTTTTTTAGACGAATCACTTAAAATATCAAACTTTTCCTTTTATTTAAATGTTGAATAGACAAACGATACAGCAAAAAAAGCGAAATATATTCCTTTTCTTTTTGTTAAGTTTTCTAAGAACAACAAGCAACAAAAAGAAAAAGGATAGAAAAAAAACAGATGATAACAACAAAAGAATCTCTCTGTCCATATATGTATACATATATATATAAAGGGTTTTCCAAATTTTGTACATATCAACTCTAATAGTAATCATATAAATGAGGGCAAGAGAAACAAAAAGAATAACTCGACAATAAAATAACAACAAAGAAAAAGAAAGCTGCTTTAGAATATTTTACATACAAAAAAAGAGAATAAGAAATTAATATATATATCTATATATATATTTTTATAGAAATATTTACATGCAAACACACGTAATCGTGTGGTTGAATATAGTTGTCATGTGCACAACAAGAGTAAAACTAACGTATATTTAGAAAAAAAAGAAAGAAAGAAAACATATATAATTAAAGTTTATTTTTCTTTTGTTCACTGTTTTAAGCAGAAATATAATCAACAAAAGATAACCATTGATTGATTGAGCAATGCTTCAAAAACAAGTTATATATTATGTTGAAGAATCATTTTCTTCAGCTGGATTCGAAACAATTTCTTTAGTTGTTTCAGTATCAGATATATTTTCAATACTTGAATTAGGATTTGATTCTTCTATTGTTTCCGTTTTTGTTGATGTCGATGGAGGTGGTGTAGATGTTGATACAACAGGAGATATTGTAGCAGGTGAATTTCGTTGTTGTTGTTGTTGTTGTTGTTCATGTTCATATTCACTAATTAAACGTTTCTTAAGTGGATGTGCATTATTTGATGAAATCGATGTTGTTGGAGATGCTGATGATGAAATTGGTGATGTTGCTATTGGTGGAGTATTACTACTAGTATTTGTTTGTGTTGAATTTATAGGTGGACTTTTAACATTTGATGTTTGATCAACATTTATTGATAATGATGTTTCAAGATGAGAATCAGATGGAGATACAAGTGTCTAAATGAAATTATCGATAGATTCTTTTGAAACTTTAACTATTTTTAAATAATATCTCACCTGTTGTGCTCTGCGAGCAAGTTTCTCTTTTGATGAAGGATCAAGTGGTGATGTAGATGATTGTCTTGATGGTGAAAATTGTTGTTCATCTATATATTAAAAAGAATAAAAAAGAATTTAAAAGAATTTTCTTAATTTTACTTTTATTTAAATAATATGAATAACGTGGATTGACAAGTTGATTATTTGCTGTTGATGGATATTGTGGTTGATCCGTTGATAAACGTGTTGGTGGTGAAATAGGACTACCTTGTGTTATTGAACCTGAATTCATCATTGTTGGACGTGATGATCGTGATCCAAATGACTGATGATATTGTTGTTGAACATAGGATTGCCAATTTCTATCGATATTTGATGATGATGGTGATGATGATGATGACGCTGATGATCGATTTGTTTGATGAGATGTTTTTGAATGTGGTTGTAAAGCAAATGGATCACGAACATTTGTTGATGTATCATATGTTTGATGAAATGATGAATGATGTTGTTCATTATTTGATGATGATTCATGTTTTGGTGATGTTCTATAATAATATTAAGAAAAGTAATTATTTTATTTGCTTTCTTTTTTTTATATTATATAATGATTTACTTCATTCGTTTTGATACTGGTTGCTGTTGTTGTTGCTGCTGTTGTTGATTTGATGGTAATCTTTGTTGCTGTATCGTTGGTGATAAACGACGATTTTGAAATATTGTTGCTGATTCTAAAATATAAAATAATAAAACGAAACTATTTTATTCAGGATTTTACCATCTGTTTTTGGTAATGTTGGACATGCTCGGATCAGTTCTCCACGTATTAAATATTCTAATGATTGACTCTTATCATTTGGAGATGCAGCACGTTTATTCGGTTGTTCATTTGTACCTTCTATAAAAAATTCAATATGTAAACTTTCAAAAAAAAACGACTTCAAATCAATACCATTTGCTGTTGGTGGTTGAGCTTTTCCATCCGCATAAATTCCATTTGCGCCCATTAACATTCGCATTGTAATTGAACCTCGTGATCGTGTAGCTAAAAGAAACGAATATGAAATAGAATATTCTGTATTTTCTAGATTTTCTTTTATACATTCACGTCCACCAGTACTATTTGCACGTTCTAATCCATTTAAATCATTATTTGAATGAACTTTTGATGCACCAACAGTACTGTTTTGAACTTTTTGATTGATTTCTAAAAAAAAATAATAAAGTTAGATGATGCGAATAGAATTTTTTCTTTGTTTAGGATTTCTTACCAACATATTCTTGTTTTTCTAATGGTTGATTTGAAAGAATCTTTTTTATTGAACTATCACGACGTCTCTCAGGTAGATCGTTTTCCATAGTTGATTTATTTGCTATAAGATAAATGAATGAACGAATAAAAATAAAGAAATTTTATTTTACTATCTTGACTTGAACGAGATTTCGAATTTCCCTCACTTATTGATTCATTTTGTTCACGCTAAAGGATGAAGAAAAAGGAATTAGTTAGAATAATAATTAAATTAACATACATTAGAATTTGAATCATCATCACCGTCAATTAAAATTGGTTGATCAGAATTCTAAACACGAAAAATTTATTATTTCTATTGAATTTTGAAGAATATATTATTATTTTACATCGATAGATTTAGTTCCAGTTGTGGTTGTTGGAAGAAATGTACGTGGTAACTGACTATTGGAATTTTCTGATAAGGATAAATCGGTATTTACAGGTTTATTACCGTTATCTAAGAAATAATAATAATAATATGTTATAATAAAATTATCTAAAGAAACTCAATCTTGGAAATAATGAATAGAAAATTATTAGACAAAATATTTCATAATACAAATAGATGTTAAAGTAACAGTCACGTATTGATACTAATTAAGTCTTTTCAATAAGTTAATTGTCTATGTTATCATGAGTATTTTTTGTTACTGATTACAAATCTCTTTAAATGAACAACAAAGCAAAAAACAACTGACGATGAAATAAAATGAGGAAAATTATATAATAAAATAATTTATTTCAAAACAGTTTTCAAAGATTCTACTAGAAAAAATCCTTCTTTTTTTTATATCTTACTTGTTGATGCAACAAATTCAGTAACACTTTTTTTCATAAAATCTTGAATGGATATTGATTCTTTAGCAGTTCGAGTTGATTCGTTATGATGTGATGATCGTTGTTGTTGTTGTTGTTGTTGTTGAGAATAATGCGTTTGAAGATGATGTGGTGAAATTGTACCTACTGACGAAGGATGAAACATATAAGGCGATCCATGATGAGGAGAAATTTGCGAAGGTGGAGCTAATGATGATCGATTTGTTGATGTAGATGCATATGGAGAATGAAGACTACTATGAGATTTATGAATATTAGTAGGTTGTTGTCTTATATAAGATGAAGAATTTGGATCTGGTGGATGATCAGAAAAATGTGAATTTGGATTTAATTTTTCATGAGATGATGAAGATTTCTAAAATATTATAAGAAAAAAATTTTGTTTTTTTTTAATTTTTAATTAAAATTTGAAATATACATGATGATTATGTGCTTCAGCTCGTTGATAATGAATTGATGGACTTTCAACTGTTGCACGTGATTGATTAATACGATGATGACTATCTTCTGGCGATCTAGAGAGAGAGAGAGAGAAAATATATTCAAATCATATTATTATTATTATAAATAAAATCACAAAAGGTCATAATGACCTTGCTTTATGCTGATAGAACTTTAAATAATTCTATATGAGTACGATATAGATGTGTGGCAGAACATATATACGAACGATGTAACAGCTACAGAATGAAAAGAAAAAAAACAAGAAAGAAAATACTCGTTTGACTATCTCTTTTTCTTCTCATTCTCTTTTTTTTCTATTCCACTGCAAATTAAATGATGGTAGTCCTGTTTTTCTGTCTTGTATATAAAATATGTCGCATGTCTCATTCATGTAAATAGTAATGATAATAATAATAATAATAATAGCAATGATGAATATTGTTTTTCTTTTATCTTACCGAGCATCTCGATCTGCTGCTGAGCTGAGACGTGCTGAATGACGAGACATTTCATTAATTTTCAGTAAAGGATTTTCATTTATTGTAGGATTAGATTTTAATTGTGAATGCATTTGTTGATTATTATTTAAATTTTGTGTACGCCATATAGATGATGCATAATCACCTGGGGGATATCGTGCATGTTCTAAAAATGATTTAAATTAAAGAAATACAATTTGAGTTTATGTGATTTTGTTTTACCCATATTTTCATGTGACTGTCGTTTAGATGATTGACTCGGATATGCTGAAGGATCAGGCGGTGAATGAGTTGATCCATAGGGAAGATGACGATTAGTACGTAGATTTTTTAATTGTTCATTATTGGTAACTGCATTAAAATCATGCATAAGACGTGGATCAACATAAAATGAAGCACCGGGTAATGAATTATAATAATGTGGATATGGTATGAGACCACTAGCAAGTATTTCTTGTGGATGCATGCCAGATGAAGCAAGAATTTGTGATGCTGCTAAAATTGCGGCATGTTGTTGTTGAGTATGATGTGATGATGACGATGATGATGATGATGATTGTATAGAAGAATTGGATGATGATGGTATAATTGCTGTTGGTGGAGGAAGTAATTGTTGTGTATTTGATGTCGATGATAATGGATGTGATGGAGATCGTTGTTCCGATGGGTGTCGAGATTGACTAGAATAAAATATATGTCGCATTCTATATGATCAAATCGTTTAAATGAAGGATTGTATGACATGTCTCAATCAAAAGAAAGGAATGTCAAAACAATATTAACCTTTTTTTTCCAAAAAATTGTCAAGGATGCTTTTAAAAAAAAGAGCCTATTGCATTAGTTTTATACCTTATGTTTAAATATAGAAATCTTTTATATTATTACAAATAAGTACATAATACTTTATTGCAATAACCGTCTGGCGTATCAAAACAAGAAAAACAAACGATCAATAATATCATACAATCCTGTCAATATTTCATATTCAAGATTATTGTAAAGGTAATTGGTTTAGGTAAACAAAAACAAAAACAAAACATATGCATCTTGTACCTGTTATTTTACTCAAACTATTCATTACATAATGCAATCTTTTATAAATTTTGTTAAGATATATTGTAATTTCTTCTTACCGTTCATGATTTGGTGAATGTGTTGTAGTAAGATATCTTGATGTAACAAAATCAGCTCTTAATGTTTCATATGTATCTGTATTGGATGTATCAATTCCAGTAGATTTATTTGTATTTGTTGATGGTTGTTGATTATTAATTGAAGGCGATTTATATTGTTGTTGTTGTTGTTGTTGTTGTTGTTGCTGCTGTTGCTGTTGTTGTATATATTGTGATGAATTTGATGGTGGAAAATTACTATGTGCACCTTGTTGATGAGAATAATGACGTAAATAAGCAGCTTGTTGTTGTGAATATAAATGTTGTTGATCTAATATTTTTGAAGATTTTATATGTGATGGATGATGAGGATAATCATTTCTTGGACTAGAATAATGATGTGGATGCATATGTGGATGATTCGTTGATGTATCAATAGATATTGGTTTATTTGATGGTGATATAGGTGTTCCACGCATAATTGAACCTTTATTTATAAATGTTTGTTGATTATGAGCATGAATTGATGGCGAATGTGATTTCGTTAATGTAACAAGTGGTGGTGGTTGAGTAGAATTATTTGTAGTTGTTAATTGAAGTTTATCAGGAGAAATAGTATTATTACTATTATTACTTGATAAACGTTTTTCTGTTTCATTTAATGTTTTCGAAATTTCTCTTTCAATAAGAGAATTTATTGTTGTTAAATCTGTTGATGGTAAATTTGTTTCTACTTTAATATTTTTATTTTCAATTCTTGATGTTTGCTCATCAGCTTCATCAATAATCATTCCATGTATTGAATCATTACTATCATCATTAGTTATTGTCTTTTGTGGATTATCTTCAGTATCTAGAAATATTTTTTACATAAGAAACAAAAAGTCAAAAAATAAAAGATTTGTCTTTTTCTACCTTCATTGATTTGTTCATTTCTTTCTTCTTTTAATTGAATTATTCGACGCGATTGATCTTCTGAACCCGATATACTTACATTATCTTCATCGATATTCTATTTAAGAAAAAAATGAAAGTTTATTCTTTTTTATACAAAAAAAAATTATATTTACATGTTCATCATCAATTAAACCATTTTTTGTATGATGTTTCTGATAAAAAGCACGACAACTTTGTTCACTACGATGAACATATTCAGCAATTTGTGACCAATTATTATTAAATTTATCTAGTGCTTCTGTAAATGCATTTATTTCATGTTCAGTCCATTCTAATAAAATTAAAATAATATATATAAAGAATTCATTAATCAATATTCTATCCATTTACCATCATCATTATGTTTAGAACTTTGTTCATCTGTTGTAGTCGATTGAATTTTAGATGATTCATCATCATCATCTTCTTCTTCTTCTCCGCCTTCACCTACGGATGGAGTAGTATTTTGAGTTTGACGAATTTGTGCAATTAATTTTTCATAACAACGTGTACAACATCGTTGAACATTTGGAGGAATTTCTAAAGAAAAATATTATTTTTTTTTAAATAAAACAAAATTAATTACGTAATAAACGACGTATAGCTTCACGATTTTGTTTTGTTAAATCATTCCATTTTGTTGGAAATGCACGTAAACGATTTTTACGATTTTTCTTTTTACCTAATTTTTCTGTTGTACATGAAAGTAATTGACATCGACTAAATATACAAAACATATTTAATATAGAAACAAAACAAAAATACAAGAATAAACTTTTTATTTGATCGTTTTTCTTCATTTCCATCACCGGGATCTAGAAAAATGAAAATAGATATATTTCATGAATTTCTTATTATTTACTTGTCTCACTTCGTTCTTCATTACTAAATAAAAATAAAATCATATGAAATAAATTATAAGAATAAAAATATCTACTTACTTTTCTAATCGATTTGTTGAACGTTCCATATCCTAGGGTAAAAATTGGAAATAATTTTAAAATTTTGTCTTAAGATAAAAAAAACAAACTTGTTCTCCTCCAGTTGTTGGTGTAATTGTTCGTCCAAGCATTTGTTGTGATGTTGATGAGACAATTGTATTCGAAGATGTTACTTTAGTAACCAATGTTGTTTCAATCGTTGTTGATGATGTAACTGTTGTTGTTGTTGCTGCTGCTGCATTTTGTTTTGCTCGTCGTCTATTCGCTTGTGTTTGTTTTCGTAATAGATTTTTATAATTTTCAGTTTTCTTTGTCATATAATAAAATTGTACACATTGTTCAGTTGTTTTATTTTCAAGAAATGATGATATATAACCAAAATTTTTTGGTGATTGAGTAAATTTTTCAATAAATATTTGTTTTTCATCTGATGACCAATAGGGCATTTTAATACGTTCTTTATAAAATTCAGCTGCATCACGTCTTATAACACCATTTTGATTAAAATATGGATGTCTACGTTGCCATTTATCATAAATAACGGGTGGTACAATAGATGATTTACGCATTTTTTCTTCTTGAATTTCAGTGTCTTGTTCAACAGTATTTGTATTTAATGAAACTGGTTGTTCAGTTGTTGATGTATCATTTGTAGTTGCTTGTTTTTTTTCTTTATCTTCTCGTGTTTTACGTAATTCCGGAAATGTTTTTTCAAATGTTTCACGATATGCTGTTAGATCTTTATTTAAAATTATTTTTTCATCTTTTTCAATTGATTTTTGCCATTCTTGATAGATTTTATCATATTTATTACTTTCACATTTTATTTCTTTATTACATATTTCATATTTCTTTTTAAATGATTCTTTTAAACGATTCTTCATTATATTTATATATCTAAATTAGATTGTTTAAAAAAATTAAATTAAAATTTCTTTATAAAAAAAATACATACTGTATTCGAATCCTTTGTATAGATTTAAGATCACTTGGTTCTTGATAGAGTGGAATAGTTAAATCGATATTATTATTTAAATGATTTAACATTTTCTGACTATCTTCAGCTTTTTTCTAAATTAAGTCAAAAAAATAAATATTTAAGAGATGAATTCAACAATTACTCGATTATCATGAAGAATTTTTTCAATAAGTGTCTGTGAACCATTTGTTTGAAGTAAATCACCTTGATCATCATTGTCTTCATCTGCAGCTGATCTATCAGCTTGACTTTTAATTTCACTCTATTTAAAAATTTAAATAAATTCTTCATTGAAATTTTTTTTGTAAAACATACCTGACTTAGTTTAGCACGATGAAGTTTTTTCATAGTTGTATCAATCTCAGCTTCAAGTTTCGATATTGCATTACGTATTATTGTTGAATCTCTCATGCTTGAATCATTTTTTGGATCATCAGGTGTTGGTGATATAGCTTCTGTTTGTGGTTGATAGACTTGTTGTTCCTATAATGATATTTAAAATAGATGAAATTAATTTGAAAAAATATTTAAAAACCTTTTTAACTTCAACTGATAATGGTAATAATTGTGAATTCACTGATAGATTACCACCTGTTGGATAACGTGATCGTTTTGAATGTTCATCAACATGTGGTCCCATAGGTATGGGTGCTAATGAAGGATAATATGGAGCTATAGAAGTTCTAAAATATCAAAAAAAATATCAATTATAAAATATATTTCTAATTAATAAATACAAACCTTTCTGGACTACCAAAATGATTATGATAACCGGCAAGTAACGATGGACGTCGATTTAATGCCATTGGTGTATCAATAGTTGAATTATTTGTGTACCGAGTATCACGCTAAAAATAATAATTATGTTTTGTTGTTTTGTTATTTGATTGAAAAAAAACAATTTTTGTTTATTCACATACTTGTTGATAATTAGTTGGATAACTAAACTGAGCCGACGACATAAAAGGTGATTGTCGGGCCATAGTTTTCCTTTTTATTATATAATTATTTGTTCATTATAATATAATTAGAATAATCTAGTTTCTCTTTTTTCTAATTGATTAACTATACTATTAGCAAAGTCAAGTAGAGGATATGTCACAATAAAAAATAAATAAATCGTTGAAAATTACATTATCTAAATAACAAGATAAATATTACTTGAAATGAATTATGTCATAATATATATATATATATACAATATGATATATTCATTTATTAAATATGATAAGAACAAGAAGAAAAAAGGTAAATAATAATGACAACGACAGAGTAGTTTGTCATTTTTTTTTTTTAGAACAGTCTAAACAGAAATAGCACAGTACGATTTGTCATCCATATAGCTATACACATGTCTCTACGGTAATATAACGAGTGGCGACACAATCAACCATAATGCCTCCAGAAAATAATAAAACTAACAGCTAGATTCATTAGTCAGTCATTTTAGGTCACATTGACAATTTTCTATTAGTCTATTTTTCGCAACGAATTATATTGAAGAACAGATGTCTCTATTATACATTCTATATTTCTATATTTCGAAAATTGTATCATACAAATTGGATTTTGTTTTACAAATCAATCTATCTTGATAATATTTTATAAAATTTGATAAACTTTATTACAAAATTTCAAATATAATCAAGTAATGTATTACGAGAATGTAATTCTTTTCCTTTTCTTAATTTTTCAATATCATTCATTGTTGCTATTATTTCTGGATGATGCTGTTGATTGTATTGAAACGTATCTAATAAAATATTTAATGCATATTCAGATTCATTCAATGCTTGTTTAACTGTATGTTTATCATTTGATAAACAATGTGCAAGACCATTACGAGATTTAGCAAAGTCTGGATGATTAAATATTAATGATTGTTTTTGAATATCAAAAGCCATTTGAAAATATTTTTTTGCATCAACTATATTACCTTGCATATATAGTGTATAACCAATTCCAATATATGATCTAGCAATATCAGGATGAATATCTGGTAAAAGTTTATGTAAAACTTCATTACCTAATGTAAAATGTTCATATGCCTGATCAATTTGTTTTGTTAGAATTAAATGAATAAAACCAAAAGCTAAATTAGCACGAGCTCGTACAAGTTTATCTGTTGCTTCAGAAAAAATTCTTAGTAAGATGATACGTGCTTTTGAACAATTATCATTCGATGTTAAAATATCTAAATAAGCACGTAATAAATTAGCATTAGGACAATCATCAGATAAATGTTCAAGATATTCTTTAGCATGTTCATAATGACATTGACGTATAGCTAATTCAGCTAACTCTTGATAATGATAATCGATGTGTAACCATTTTTCTGCTTGAATATAAAAACCTTTATACATTAGTATACGACCAAATGCATAGTGAATATTATTTAATTCTGTTAATTCTTTAAAATAATATTCATATAAAGTTTGAATAGAAGTTTGTAAATTAAGTGCTGAACATAAATTTAAAACAATTAACCAATATGGATCTGGTTGTTCTATATATTCAATTTTAATTAAACGATATCGAGCACCAAACCATAATAAAATCTCTTCATTATTTATTTCACCAAATGGTATAATTCCATGAAGAGTTCTATCAATATTTATTTGGAATAAAACTTTATGTTTGTTGTGTTTAGCATTTTGGATATGATCAAGTGCTGTTTGTCGATTTGTATATGTCATCAATAACTCACTGACAATAATTATTTCACCAATACGATGTTTCATTGCATCAAGTTCATCTGTACTTAACCATGTACCATGATTAGTAGTAAATTTTGTTTTATCTTTAATAGATTTGTCTTGTTCATTAATTAATTGCCGATAGAAATGTCTTATAAACCAACGTAGTGTCCATAGTTGAGTTAGATCATTTGAATATATATTAGTAAAACATAAATCTGATCGATACCATTCTTGAATAGATTGTTCTTGTATTTTTATATGATTCTCTACAGCAACATGTTCAGGATCTGGCTCTTTCATTTCCCTATGCGTTTGACAATAATTGTTAAAATCTTCAATACCATCATCTAGACTTTGAATTATAAGATTAAATGCAAGATATTCAAATATATTATTATCATCCGTAAAACGTTCACATTGTTGCGATTCTTGTTTATCTGGCTGCTGCTGCTGCTGTTCTACCGTATTTTGTATGTCGTACTGCATACATTGAAAAATTTTATTTATCTCTGAAAAAACACATCGAACTTTATCGCATAACTGTGCCCAACGACCATGTTTTACCGTATCAAAACAAAAAACATATATATTTTTAACTTGATATAATGGTTGTAAACGATCATGTACAAGCATTTGACCATATTTACCAGAAACAAGAATTGATAAACAAGGTGTTTCCGTTTCAATTGATTCAACTAATTCAAGACACGTTTCAGGATTAGTAAAAGTAAATACATTGTCGAAAAGAGAAGTTAGAACTTCTTTAACACCAGGGTCTTCTTCTGCACTATCATCTAGCCAAACAAGTACTTGCCTATTTTTTAGTGGTTGTGTTGCATTTGCAATACCTGCCTGTGTTCTTGTAGATGTTGCCATACTGTCTCTTATTTTTATTTCATTATAGAAGAAAGTAAAATGTTTTTAACATGGCTGTATTTGTAGTCTATTCTTTTATTTATAGACTTACGCTTTTACAAGTATTTTAATATTACACGCTAACCAAACATTTTTTTTTCTTTCTTTCCTATGTGACTTGTTAAAATAGAAACAACCATGAAAATCTTGAGGAAAGGAAGAGAAAAAAATACCTTAGTAAATAGAATAATATTTTTCTTTTATATTCAATGATCGGTAAGCTTTTTTCGCGGAAAAAGCGAAGTCGTAAAAGTTTGTTAATACAGTATTCAATTTATTTTTAATATTGTGGGTGTGGGTGTGCTTTTGGATGATCTATTAGTTCCACACCCACACCTAAATAGAGTAACAAAAGGAAGACAATTACACTTTATTGTCCGAGAGGAATTGTTTTACATGCAGAAAAATATTTTTTTATTGTGGATAATGGAAATGATTATATAATTGGATCACATCGAAACGGCTTTCGATGTATAGTTAGAGGGTGTGGGTGGGAGTGTCTTTTACCTTGCCTGGTTTGCACACTCACCACCACACTCACACCCACACCCACACCCACACCCAGTGGGAATTTTTCCAGAATAGTCAGTATATATATGGAAGAATTTTTCGTTCTATTCATTGCCAATATCACACTACTTCAAGTGACAAGAAAAAGGTTTTCAGGTAACATTTAGCTTAATGTTTTCATTTTACAAATAATATTCTAGGTAATTTTTCAAAATATACGGAAAGATTTCTCAAAGAAATATAATGAATAACACCAATACTTTTACACTAAACTTCAACTACATTTACCATTTCATAATCATCTTTTGACGTTCGCAGCCATAGCAATCGCATTGAGTGATGCATCTATTTTATTCTAAAAACAATAAGATGGCAAGTAAAGCCAAGCGTATTAGATTAGCTGTTTCTATCTTATATTATTTGACTACATTTATTCTTTACAGCCATTCAAAGTTTTTTTTCTTGCAATGGATGTCTAAAAATCATTCTATAATATTTTGTTTATTAACATAGTATAATAGATGAATCATGTAGAAAAGTTCATAATATAGAAAATTATTTGCAAAATAGTTTATCATGTCAGACGATTAATAATAATTGCTCATATGGCATATTCTTGAAAAGATAAATTGATCAAAACATTTATCAGCTTAGCACAAGTTAATGAGTATGCTCTTATGTGAAGTTCTTATCACAGAATCTAATTTAAGAATCTAGAGTAGATGTTTCCCTTTATAAATTATTTCTCAAACCATGTGGCGTATAAATTGTTAACACTAGAGAATTTCGAATTCTTTAATAATGCAACACGGCTTCCATCTTGCTTTGTTGTTATGACATTGTCATGTGCTCTGCGCACGAGACATTCTTCTCTCTCTTATGTTTGTTTGTTTCGATTTACAGTCCTCTCACTTGTCTTTTTGCTCCTTTTCCATTTTTTTTGTTGTAAGTCAGAGAGGATATGTTGGAACGCGTGTATGCATGCATGAGAGAAGAAGTTGGCAGCGGTAGATATATATTGTTCTGTGTTTGGTGTGCGTGAGGTACCATCGTTCTTTTTAAATGAATTTTTGTTCGGTTATGGAATAAACTAACATCTCACAGACGTTATCAGTTGTACTAAATCATTCGGAAGATTTCAAATTATTTACGAACAGGATTTTTCTATATTTCCTTTAGCATCGGCAAAAATGGCTGCATCGGTTAATGTGCAAATATCTCCAATCGATAGACCAACTTGCCCTCATTGTCATCGTCATGATCAAGTTTCTGCTATAGCTGATCTTCTTCCTGATGCTGATAGTGATGATCTTAGTTTTACTAATTATAGGCTTAGTAATCGTAGTGGTTCAAGTAATCCTGATAATGCTACTAATGATCGTACTTTTGATGTTGATGGTTATTGGATTATGCTCGAACTTTATGGTTTTTATCTTGCTTATTTTAGTAACTCACTTGGTATTCTTAATTCTCTAAGCCGTCGTGCTGCTGCTGCTCGCCTTGATGGTACTGATGCTGCTGCTGGTCTTGCAACTCTTGTTGCCGGTCTTATTGGAGAAAAGACAGGTTTCTGTTATTTTCAGCTACTTAATGATTCAACGATATATGTCTGTGACTATAAACATGGTGAAGGTAAGCGTGAACGTAATGTTTATATCTAATCTCATTGCTTTTCTGCCATAACTTTGAATGGCTCCGAGTCCTGACTAAAGACGGTTTAAAAGAAAATATAAAACTGGAGGAGATGCAGCGAAAGTATGTCTCTGAAGAGTGGTTTTTACGAGAGCATCAGTCGAGATATAACAGTTGTGGATTCTATTAAATAAAAAAACAATGTCATTTACCAATTCTAAATTTTATTTTTGCAACATTTTGTTTAGGCTCGTCAGAAATGACTCCATCAATCTATGCGCAACCATCGTCGAACGCAAAACCGACTTGCCCACGTTGTCATTGTAACGATCATGTTAATCGTTATTTTGATATTATTGAAAAACTTTTTTTTCGGTGTATGAATCGTCCTGTTGCTCTTGGTGACAATAATATCTATACCACTGATGATCCCGATGGCAGCTTTCTTCGTCGTCTTCGTTTTGATGCTCGAGATGCTTTTGGTGATCATGATGCTACTCGTCTTCTTTGTTTTGATCGCACTCCTGCAAATGTTCTTGGTTGTATTGGAGTACAAACAGATTTTTGTTTTTTTCAGATCGTTGATAATAAAGCAGTCTATGTATGTGAGCAAAAACATTAATGTATTTTTCTTTACTGATAATTGAGTTTTTTTCTGTCACTTTTTTGTATTTCAATAAAGCTTCATTGCATAAGTAACGTTCCTTTACGAACTTCACTTAGCTCTTCCTCTCGGGTGAGGGTGTGTATCGAGGTGGGGATTCATCTTTTATTTACCCACATCCACACCCTTCACGATCAACATATCGTAAATATGATTGGCTCTGTTTTTTCGTCTACGCATTTCACTTTATCGATGCATTTTCTTTTCAAAACAATATTGTTACTGTTCTTTAATAAATGAATTATAATAAATTAAAATAAAAAATAAATAATATTTGAATAAAAGAATTACTTACAAAAAATAAAACAAACTAAGATACTTACTATTCCTTGGGTTGATTATTTGGCACAGCATTAAATAAATAAACGAAGATAAAATAAATAAAAATACTTGTTATTGGTTAGTTTACGCTATCCAGACAATCTAAAATATCTGAAAATGCATGAAGTAAATAAATAAAAATACTTAATAATCTGTATGATCTACGAAAGTAATCTAAAAAAAGCAAAATAGATAAAACTAGCATGTGATTTATTAAATTATCCACTACCATATAGCCATATATCTCCGTTTTTTCTCGTAAACGAGTGTTCCTTATTGTGCATATTCGATTGCGGAATATACAAGTAGACAGTAGCATTGAATCATTTTCATTAAATATAAATAGTATGAGTAGGACTAGTGATTTAGTGATCCGAAAAGTTGATAAGCATTTAGAATGTTATTTTATGATAAAAATCAGCTGTTATCTATATAAAATAGACTATTTTCATAAGATCATACCAGCTGTTTTTCTCTCAGACATGAGACTTAATGATTTATTTCTATATCGTATACTGTTCTCTATCAAACATCTAAGTATACTGAATGCAAAACATGTCTTCTGTTTAAATGAATTTTGAAAAAGTCATAGCTTTTCTTCCTATATCATGACGTTTATATATTCGTAAGACAAACTTGTAACGAACGTGATAGTGTTCCATTTTAGACATAATTAGTTTTTATATTATTTAACGCTATATCATCAAATACTGATTTTAGGATTAAAACGCTTAGTATTACTAGAACAAAACCAATTCTGATTCTGTTACATAGGGTGTATGTGACGGTGTGGGTAGGTATCTTTGTAGATATCATAATTATCTCTCACACCC